TTCTTCCTTTCTTCCTTCTTCCTTTGTCTTTCTTGTCAGAGTCTCACTCTTTCGCCCAGGCTGGAGGGCAGTGGCACACTGCTCACAGCCACAGCAGCTTTGACCTGCTGAGCTCAGGTGATCCTTCTGTCTCAGCCTTCTAGTAACTGGAAACACAGGCATGTGCCACCATGCCCAGCTAATTTTTTGATTTACTGTAGAGATGAGGTCTCAGGTCTCACTATGTTGCCCAGGCTGGTCTTGAACCCATGGGTTCAGGCAATCCTCTAACCTCAGCCTCCCAAAGTGCTGGGGTTACAGGCATGAGCACCACACCTGGCTTGACACCCAGTTCTTCAGCAAGCCCTATGTCTTAGTACATTTTCTGCTGCTGTAACAGAATACCAAGGACTGGGTAATTTATAAGTAATACAAGTTTAGATAGCTTATACTTCTATTTATTTATTTATTATTCTGTTGAGTTGGAGTTTCACTCTGTCGCCCAGGCTGGAGTGCAGTAGCACGCTCCCAGCCACCACAGCCTCAACCTGCTGGGCTCAGGCAATCCTTCCGCCTCCGCCTTCCAAGTAGCCAGAACTATAGGTATGTGCTATCACACCTGGCTAATTTTTCGATTTTTTGTAGAGATGAGGTCTCAACATGTTGCCCAGGCTGGTCTTGAACTCGTGGACTCAAGCAATCCTCTTGCCTCTGTCTCCCAAAGTGCTGGGATTATAGGTTTGAGTCACTGCGCCTGGCCACTTTATAGTTTTAGAGGATGGGAAGTCCAAGAGCACAGTCTTGGCATCTGGCAAGGGCCTTGTGCTTGTTATCCCATGAGGGAGAAGCTGAAGTGTAAGAAAATCCAGCTGAAATTATTTTGTCAGAAGTCCACTCCTGAGCTTATTCAGCATTTATCCATGCATGAGGGCAGAACCCTCATGACCTAGTCACTTACATCCCAAAATTGTTACACTGGTAATTAAATTTCAACATATGTTTTAGAGGAAACATTCAAACCATAGCACCCTACATATTTGAGCCCATCTACACATTTCTATCTCCACTGCCACCAATCTAGTCTAAATCACTCTCCATTACTGCTTGCCCACAGACTTGCAATCGTTTTCCAGCTAGTGTCCCTGCTTCTCTTCTTTCCCTTAGCTATCTACTCCTTACACAGAAACAAAAGAGATCATTTAATTTTTTTTTTTTTTGAGTTGGAGTTTCACTCTGTCACCCAGGCTGGAGTGCAGTGGCATGCTCCCGGCCACCACTGCCTTGACCTACTGGGCTCAGGCGATCCTTCCACCTCAGCCTTCCAAGTAGCTGGAACTACAGGCACACACTTCCATGCCTGACTAATTTTTTGATTTGTTGTAGAGATGAGGTCTCACCAAGTTGACCAGGCTGGTCTTGAACTCATGGGCTCAGGCAATCCTGTCACCTCGGCCTCCCAAAGTGCTGGGATTACAGGCTTGAGCCACCGTGCCTGGGCTTCATTTAATAATTTAATTCAAATAATATAATTCTCCTGCTTAAAAACTCCTGATGACCTCATAGTAGAAAACCAATAATAAATGTGAAAGGAATGACAGAATTAGAAAATCACCATTTGGCAACAATTATAATAGCTGATTAAAATAAGAATCATTAGATTTGCCAGGCATCGGTGGCTTATGCCTATAATCCCATCACTTTGGGAGGCCAAGGTGGGAGGATTGCTTGAGCCCAGGAGTTGGAGACCAGCCTGGGCAACAACGTGAGACCTCGTCTCTACAGTTTTTTTTAAAACTAAGGCTGGGTGCAGTGGCTCATGCCTGTAATCCCAGCACTTAAGGAGGCCAAGGCAAGAGGATTGACTGAGGCCAGGAGTTCGAGACCAGTCTGGGCAATATAGTGAAACCTCATCTCTGTAATACATTAAAAAATTAGCCAGGTATGGTGGTGTGCACCTGTAGTCCCAGCTACTTGGAAGGCTGAGGCAGAAGGATTGCCTGAGTCAAAACAGGTCTAGGCTGCAGTAGCTGTGATAGTGCCACTGTACTCCAGCATGGACAACAGAGTGAGGCTCTGAATAAAAAATAAAATTTAATTAGATGGGTGCAGTGGTGCATACCAGTAGTCGCAGCTATTCAGGAGGCTAAGATAGGAGAAATGCTTGAGTCTAGGAGGTCAAGGCTGTAGTAAGCCATGATCATATCACTGCACTCCAGCTGGGGTGACAGAGTAAGACCCTAACTCAAAAAAAAAAAAAAAAAAAAGCAGATGTATAACTAGTGGGTGAAAGGTTGAGGAGTAACAGGATGTTTACATAGTCTGAAAGTATTTCTTCATAAGATATTATTTACAAAGTAGAAACTTTATGATGGAAAAAGCTTAAGCAAGTGATTAAAGTTAATATCACCAGTAATACAACAAATTGACATCATATCCCTCCAATGAATATAAAATCACTCCTGCAGTATTCCCAGCAAAAAAAGCATCACCTGAATCTAAAAACCAAAAAAACCAAACCAAACAAAACAAAAAACCCAGATAAACCTAAATTAAGGAATATTCTACAAAATGGTTTGTAATTTGTATTCTTCAAAAATGTCAATGCTATAAAAACTAAAGCAATTCTAAGTAACAATTTCCAGATTAAAACAAACTTGAAACATGACAATTGAATAAGATATGTGATCTCGGACTTTGGTTTTTCTTTTTCTTTTTTTTGCTATGAACATTATTGGAAGAACTGCCAAAAAATGAACAGTCAATACATTAAATATTAATTTTCTGATTTTTATAATTGTACTGTAGTTATGGAAAATAATGTTTTGCGGGGAAATACACACTGAACTATTTACAAATGAAAAAAATGCTGACGGCCTTCTATTTACAATTGGATCAAAACTCAGACCACTACAAGATCTGGCGCTATGGGCACCTCTCTGATTTCTCTTTCTGTCACTCTCCGTCACTTCACTTAATCATTAAGACAGATCACTCCAATGTGACAGTTCCTAGAAAAAGTCAAGTTTTGCCCTGAACTTGCTGTTCCCTGAACCACGATCAGCCTTTTCTTACCCCGTTTCAGTTTAAAAATCACCCATTCAGTTAGCCGGGCGTGGTAGGGCGTGCCTGTAATTCCGGCTACATGGAAGGCGGAGCCGGAAGGATCCCTGAGCCCAGCAGGTCGACGCTGGGGTGGCCGCGAGTGTTCCACGGTACTCCAGCCTGGGCGACGGAGTGAGACTCCAACTCCAAAACAAACAAACAAACAAACAAACAAAAAAAACAGCCGGGCTCGGTGGCTCAGCCTGTAGTCCCGCGCCTTTGGGAGGCTGAGGTGAGTGGATTGCCTGAGCCCGCGGGTTCGAGACCCGCCTGGGCAGCGAGACCTCAGCTCTACAATAAAATCAAAAAATCAGCCGGGCGTGGTAGCGCATGTCTGTAATTCCGGCTCCTTGGAAGGCGGAAGGATCGCCGGAGCCCAGTAGGTCGAGGCTGCGGTGGCCGGGAGCGGCCACTGCACTCCAGTCTGGGCGACAGAGTGAGACTCCAACTCAAAAAACAAAAACAGAAACAAAAAACACCCACTCAGAAAGTCATTCCATGAGCACCAGGCCTAAAGTTCACCTCCGTTGTCTAGTAAAGCACTCTTGCTTCTTACTTATGTTCGCTTTTCTTTTCTTTTTGTTTATAAATATGAGTTTTATTGAATATTAGTTCATAAAGAAGTGTGGTTGTATTGTCTGATCCATTTATACTAATAGTTCTTTTTGCTTCTTTTTTTTTGAGTTGGAGTCTCACTCTGTCGCCCAGACTGGAGTGCAGTGGCCGCTCCCGGCCACCGCAGC